CATTTAATGTATAAATTCATATGATTATTCATTGATTTCAAATTTAATTCAAATCAGTTAAAGTTTATTCCATTAAAGGAACAGAAACAGTATATATATATATTTTTTTAGATTAAGAGAAATAACAAATTAAGTGTAGATTTAGAATTGTTGTATTGTTTTTATGTGGGAATAGAAGGAATTGTGCCTCTTGTATGTAATGATATAATGGAATAAGTTAATAGTCACTTTTTATATTCTACCCTCATGTAGTACTTATAAAATGCCAATAATTTTGTTGTCCTTTATTTACATTATTCCTAATCATCTATCTCTGTTATATTCTCAAAATCCATCTCTGTTTTTCATATCCCTTCTCTGATTCCTTTTTGTTTTTATGCCTCCGCCACAAAAGGTGGTGCCAGAAGCAATTTTCTTCCATCATTGATTCACTTCTCCTCTATTTTTTTTCTTTCTTTCTTCTATTTCATAAACATGCAATAATCAATGCTCTACTTGCTCCATATTCAAATGGCACTAAGAATCAACACAACTTACTTGAACATTGTAACCATGCTTATTAGCTAGTCTCTCATACAGATATCATTCCATTATTGGCTTCAAATGCCTTACTACCTCTCTGTAATGAGATGGACCATAGCTTATAGCAATCACTTTACCCATACTCATCTACAACTGAATATTTATAGCAAAGTGTATTAGCTAAGATGTGTATAATCATTAACATGCGGACACTAACATTTCACTACCTACTGTTGATTAGATATTCAGTAAAGATAAAATTCACTGAACTCTTCATAGCAATTATGAATTCTAATCATTCATTAAAAGCTTATAATAGATGAATAATACTCCTAATTGCACCATCACCATTTCCCTCTCTTCTTAATACATTCCATTTGAGAAATGTAAGCTCCTGCTATGATATATTTTTCACTATTTTCTATTGAAATCCAGAAGATAATTGTGTCTTATTTCTATAACTATCTTATCATGAAATATGATAATGAATATATTTCCCGGTGAGTTTACAAAAAGGTGCTCAATTACATGTAATGTCACCGTCATCCTCAGCTACATTTGAATCAACAATTTATTTGACATGTGAAATGTACATCTCTGTCCACAGAAAAATCTCCTAAGATTACTGATTCTTCACTGTGCTTGTTCTTTAACATCTTCATAAAAGAGTGCAACATTCCCCAACTGATTTAAGTTCATACTAGTGAATAATGAATTAAGATTTCTTTAAATATTATCTTTGTGATATATTATTTGTAATTCTGCAGATTATGCAAATTTTAGAGGATTAGGGATTATAATTTTACTTTAGGGGATTCTAAATTTCAAAAGATAAGGACAAATTGTTACTGTTCACATTTTTGTTCAGGATCTACAAGTAGAAGCATAGAATCAATTAGTTGATGGAAAACATTACTTCTCAGAATAACATTGTCATATATCGTCATATCGTCTGTTTTGTGCTAGAAGGGCGTTAGAACTGTGTAAAATGATTAAAGTTAATGACTTTCTGGCTCCAAAAGAGATGATATATTGATTCACTAACTACATGTGCAAGTGTAACACCAGTGTCATTGATTAGGGAAGTTGGGCCAACTTGGTTTGAGTTGGGAGCAATATGGCAAATACTGCTTTGTTGGGCAAGCAAAAGAATTTAAACAAAAGAATATATGCCATGTTGTAACCAATTGAAACCAGGTTGGCCAAACTCACTGCATAGATGGCTCTGTGTGAAACTATTCTGTAACCATTCTGTAACCATTCTGCAACCATTCTGTAACCATTCTGTAAGTAATGTTTTCTATATGTATTCCTTTGTTTAGGGACACTGTGTCTGCCTTTGGCATCGACTTCTTGAAAGGCAAGGGAGGAGGAGGAGGCGGTGGAGCAGGAGGCCAAGACCAGTACAAGCTCAGAATGAGGAGGAAACGACGACCTTTGACCCCATCATCCAGCTTTGACTTTGACGAGGAGATGTCCATGGACAACATGCCGCCCCACACCCCCTCCGAAGCCTCCGATAGCTCATTTGATTCAGGGGCCATGGCCAAGGTTGGGATTAGCCCTGATTTCATTTGATTTATTTGGTTTGATTTGATATAATTTTAATTGATATATGATACGATATGATGATATGATATAATATGATATATGATATGAAATGATATATGAGATACGATATATTGTATCATATAATTATGTTAAGATTATGATATGATATGATATGCTATATGATATGAAATGATATATGACATGATATGATATGTGATTTGATATAATATATGATATGATATGATATATGATGTGATAAATATATGATATATGATATGATATCATATGATTATGTTATCATATGATTATGTTATCATATGATTATGTTATGATTATGATATGATATGGTATATAAATTGAGCTGACTATGAATTACATGTATATTCGTATGGACCAACTTAAAATATGTTGAATATCACTGCCATAATGCTTAAGTTTGCTTCGCACTCATTCACATTCATTAGTACTATAGGCAGTTTTACCCTACCAAAATTAAACTATTGTTTGCGATAATCTCAAAACAAAAAAAGCTTTACTTTCTTGTTAAAACTCAAAATGGGCTCATTAACAACATGAACAAAACATCTTGATATTGTGCATGCTTGGGATTTTGACGGCACAGAGCGGTTGAATTGATGTAAAGTTGAGACTTTTATTTTAACCAGAATTTAAAAAAACATAATTTATGAAATTGTTATTTTATATACCGTATATATATATAAAAAAAAAAAACATATTTATACATCTCTGTATGTGGCTACTGCCATAATAAATTACTATACTCCTGAGAAGGCTACCAGTTGTGCTTTTAATAGTTAGAAATATTGTTTTCTTCTTTCAGAATGACTTTTCCATGCCGGATATGTCTGCAGGGCGTCGTGATAGCACTGTCTTCCCAAGGTGAGCAAAGGTTGTTTTACTGAATGGTTCTCATGAGCTGTGTCTTTGGAGGTCAATCCTTCTTAATTTTTGCTGCAATATTTATTAGTCTGGCTTTAATTGTAGATAGTATCTCAATTTTGGAAAAAGGATCATCCTCGGGTGGTTAAACCAGGTTTATTAAACTTAGGCTGCTTTCAAGAAATACATGCCAATGAGCCTCTAATTGTCATTTCTATGCAGTCTCTTCCTAGCAACAGAGATGCCATCAACCCAAGTCAAGGAAGAGGAGGAGGAGGAGGAGCCAGTCTACGAGCCTCAGATGACCAGGGTCAAACAAACCGTTGTGGTAAGCATCCCTCTACTTTCAAAATATTGTAAAAACTCATGATGATTATAGTTATGATAATATTGATATACTTCATGTAACTCCTACTACTACTACTACTACTTCTACTTGTACTAATGATAGAAAATAATGATGGTGATAAATAATAATAATAAATAATAGTAATAATAAAAAGAAGCAGAAAAATAGGAGTAAAGATAAGAATGATGATCATAATGATAATTATAATACTGGTACTAATGATATTGATTGTGGTTATGATAATTATAATGATAAAGTAATTTTTTTTATATCAAATGATAGCAATGATAATAGCAACGATGACTATGAGGATGATGATGATAGTAACAATGTGATTTATTTACAAATTTTAATATGTATTTTCATTTTTTTGTGTGAATAAAAATGGTGCACTAATAAAACACAGTTTTGCAGCATAACATTCTGTCTCGTGACAATTTTTCTATCTTTTCTCCCAACACAGAGTCTGTTTGCAAGGAACTTCTACAACATCAAGTATGTTGCTCTAGCCTTGGTCTTCTGTATCAACATCCTTCTTCTCTTCTTCAAGGTAAGTCTTATAGTAGAAGGAATAATCTAATTCCTTTCCCTCAATTCATGATTTTTCATTTATGTCTTGTTTTTGTTATTGATGGACCTGATGGAATTATCAACTATATGGAAAATGGTCTAGAGTAAAAAGCTAGATAATTAAAAATTGGTTGATTTGACTTTTTTTGCTAATTATTTATTGATTAATCACGATTGCCAGAAATTGATAAGACTTCATTTCACCAGTTAAGTACCTGTACCTGCAGATAGCATCTTTACAGATGAAATGTAATAATATGTGTTAGTACTTGCTGTGTTTGGTAATACATGTACTAAGGCGAGATTTCAAGTCATAGATTTGATTGTGATTAATAATAATAAGAGTAAAAATTAAAACGTTACTTATAAAGCGCTTACCACCGAAGTCTCTAAGCGCTATAACACACAAAATAGACTGATATACAATTACATCTTCAACAAAACTAAAAATGCAAATAAACCTACAAATTACAATACATATATGAAATACACATCAAAGTGAACAGAGTTAATTAATCATCGAACGCAATTTTGAATAAATGTGTCTTAAGACTAGTTTTGAATAGGTTAACCGTTTGACAGTTTTTGACACTTTGCAAAAATGCACATAGATCTGACGGATTGGAGAGTAATGATTGATCCGAATCGATTACAAAATTTTTCAATCAATCGCATGGATATTTCGTTGGTACAGAGTAGGGATTATGCGAATCAGTTGCAGTTCTTTATAAGACGGGTCCTGGTCTATTCAACATGTACTCTCATACTCAGGTATCCTACTTGACGGCAGAACTGGGGGAAGTAGAACCAGACCTTCCTTCCGAGATCCTGGAGAATGCAACATCACCCAATGGTGCAGATGCTGGAGGTGACGAAGAGGGAGTAGACGATCAGATAGAACAGATACTTATCAATCAACAGTTCATGTATCTTGTGCCTGTCTTGCAAGTTCTCTCCATCCTTCATTCCCTGGTGTCCATCTCTATGCTGATTGCATACTGTGCACTCAAGGTACGAAAACAGCATTTCCGTGAAGTTTACCTATGATGACCTCGAAATGAGTATGTGAGTGGGTTGTGGGTGTGTGTGAGTGGGGTATGTGGGTGTCCATCTCTATGCTGATTGCATACTGTGCACTCAAGGTACAAACACAGCATTTCCGTGAAGTTTACCTATGATGACCTCGAAATGACTATGTGAGTGGGTTGTGGGTGTGTGTGAGTGGGGATGTGGGTGTCTATCTCTATGCTGATTGCATACTGTGCACTCAAGGTACACACACAGCATTTCCGTGAAGTTTACCTATGATGACCTCAAAATGAGTATGTGAGTGGGTTGTGGGTGTGTGTGTGGGGGGTATGTGGGTGTCTATCTCTATGCTGATCGCATACTGTACACTCAAGGTACGAACACAGCATTTCCGTGAAGTTTGCCTATGATGACCTCAAAATGAGTATATATGTATATGGGTGGGGTGTGGGTGTGTGTGGGGGAATTTGTGGGTTTCTATCTCTATGCTGATAGCGTACTGTGCACTCAAGGTACACACACAGCATTTCTGTGAAGTTTGCCTATGGCGACCTCAAAATGAGTATGTGGGTGGGTTGTGGGTGTGTGAGTGGGGTATGCGGGTTTCTATCTCTATGCTGATTGCATATTGTGCACTCAAGGTACACACACCGCATTTCCATGAAGTTTGCCTATGGTGACCTCAAAATGAGTATATATGTATGTGGGTGGGTGTGGGTGTGTGTGCATGGTTTGATTGGTGAGTGTGGGTTGTTGTGTGTAATTAGGTTTATGCAGATATGAATCAATCAGATCCAATTATTTACATCTGAAAGTCAGGACCAACCCTAATGCCACTCTCTCTATCCATTCAAAGACTAGGATCTCAAAATTTGGTCTTGGGCCAGGGTTGGATCACATTTTATGCTGATTTTGAGCAAGACCGTGTTTTTTAGCAGTTTCCTGTTCTCAACCTCTTTTAGGTTCCGCTGTGCCTGTTCAAAAGAGAGAAAGAGATTGCTCGTAAGCTGGAGTTTGATGGGCAGTGGATAACTGAACAGCCGACACGAGACGACATCAAAGGCCAGTGGGACTCCCTTGCCATCAGTACTGTGTAAGTATTACTGGAAACTTAGATTGACATAATGCACATTGCTTTCACTTTCAAATGTTGTTTGTTGTTCTGTTATTCTTTTTCTTTCTTTTTCCATTCATTTGTAATCATTCTATGATATATTGACATGTAAAATAATGATCTCTTTTGCTATTTACATGTCTTTAATCGTTTAACTACTTTTATATTGGTATCTGATGGAGTATGGTTTTCTAAATGTATGCAGTGGTCCACTGCATACATTTGTGTCAGATTAAGCCTTGTCCTAAACAAGTTATTCAATAAAATATTTTACAACTACTACTACTCATACTACTACTACTACTACTACTACTACTACTACTACTCTTACTACTCATACTAATACTACTACTTCTAATACTAATACTACTACTACTACTTCTACTACTTCTACTAGCTGCATTTATATTGAAGACATACATGTATGCATCTGATGAGATTGGTAACAACAACAAATAATACTAATACTACTACTACATATTTTTTATAAGTGATATTGTGTCAGATAGAGTATGACACCTAGAAAGCAATGCTGTCAACAGATTATCGGGGAGCACTTATGAACAAGCATATTGGAATAATTCTGTCATGTTTTTTCCAATTTTACTTACAAAGGTTTTTTTTAATTTTTATATAAGCAGAGTCAATTGTTGGTTACAAATGTGAATGGACTGTCTTTACTTCAATATTGTCTGTATAAAATATGCTTTATATCCAATGCATAAACTATTAAATAGTATACACCTCTGACATCATAATGTCAAGAGACCATCGACTAGTGACATTAAGGGACTTACATGTACTGTCAATATCACTTTTAAATGCATTATGAATGTAATGTATGATTATTATTATTATCATTAATTTTGTTGTTTGGTTTGCTTTCTATTATAGCTCATTTCCTGTGTACTACTGGGACAAGTTTGTCAAAAAGAAGGTAAAAATTCTTTTCATGAGTATTTTGTTAATAAATGTGAACTGACAGGAGAAATGGCAATATTGGATAACCACGCCTTCAAACTCAGCTCATGTCGCAATGACTCTGATAATTTGATGTTGATATCGTAATGTTTTTACTTACTTTTGATTGTGTGTTAATTATATGATTTGTTTATTATGAAGAGAAATCATTCAATCAAATAAAATTAAATATGAGGTATATCGGTATTATAAAAAGGCTTTCGCATGCATATTTTAAATGTAAGTGCAAATTTAGTCATAACTATTAAATATCCGATAGTCATCGAATGATGTTGTTCATTATGTGGACATAAACTACTTCCCTTATGTATTTTTGTAAACATTTGACAGGGAATACAATAACTGCTAAAAAAAAAAAAGGGGGAACAAATCACTTTCACAAAAATGATTGAGTTATAAAAAAATTGGTTTAATGCTTCAGTTTAATTGGTAAATTTGTCTGTAATTTGTATGTAAGCAACCAGGGGAGCAAAGGCTTAAAGTCCTTTCCAAAGGGATTGATAATGATGATTATGATAGGACACTAGCGCATCAACTTGGCTTGATGCCGGGACCTCCCAGTCATTCATGAGACCACTGCTCTACCACTAAGCCGTCACAGCTCCTCGTTGTATGCTAGTAATTTATGACCTTATTTTGGAGGAAATGAAATTTTCAGCTGAGATCTCTTTGGCTTTTTGTTTATATTATAGGTTCTGAAGAAGTATGAAGATGCAGTGGGTGAGGACAAACTATGTGCTATGCTAGGGATGGAGATTGGTGAGAACCCTATGGCAGGCAACCCTACCGAGAACCCTAATCAGGGTCTCTTCAGCTCAATGTAAGTTGGTTAGCTAGGTTTCGTCATTCTCGTTCTATCTCACTCCCTTTCTCTCTCTCACACTCGCAATGTCTATATCTCTCTTTCTATCTCTATATATTTCTCTATCTTTCTCATTCACCCCTTTTGTTCTCTGTACTTCTCTCTCTCTCTCTCTCTCTTTCTCTCTCTGTCTCTGGCTGTCTGTATCTGTCTTTGTTTCTCTCCTTCCCCCTCTCTGTCCTTCTTTATATTTATAGTTAAGCTTCTCCTTGAATATCTTTGAACTCCTTCCTTCCACTCCTCAATTTGACTAGTCTGCTTTTAAAATTTCCTACTTTTCTTATAAAGCAGCAGAGGGTTGACAAATTCAAACCAGTGTACAAGATGTACCTGCAGGTACCTCTATATCTTTCTCTTTTTCTTTCCATAGGCTAACGTCGCTAGATTGGAAGTATCACATCTGGAAGTGTGGCGTGATTGGAACTGATAACGTGAGTAGAACAGGATTAATTTTAGGGATTATGCAGTTCTTTTTCTCACTTATTCATGGCAATATTGGTGAAGAATCTGCTTTAGCCATACTCTTAGATGTAGTTCATCTGCTGGAGGCATGTTGCACTTGTGTATTTCTCAAGATACTTAGATTTTGACTACTTAATCACTCAATCACTTAATTTTTGATGATATACTTCAATCTGTAAATTATCTTAATTGTTGACAGTGATGGGTCAAATTTCTGTTTGTTATTTATTTCTTTTATTTACCTTTTCATTACAAAACTGAAATGTTTAAAAAATTGACCTGATTACATGTGTATTTGTTTGTGCCTTACTACCCCAAAAAACAGTAGCACATCTATGTCTTGTCAAACTGACATAATTTTTTGTGGCTTTGTGGAAGACTCACAAGTTTTACTTGTGCAAAGAATCCCAAAGTACACATGGATTCCTATTTTATTATAATAGTTTAGTAGTTTAGAACTTTGGCCGTTTTTCTAAAAAATGTGAAATGACTAGCCGCCTATTATTACCCTGAATAAACTGGTTTCTTTTCAGTCTTTCTTGTACATTGCTTGGTACCTTCTCTTCTCTCTGCTGGGCCATATCAACCCCTTCTTCTTTGCGGCTCATCTTCTTGACATTGCCATGGGCTTCAAGACCCTGAGGACTGTACTTCAGTCTGTAACACACAATGGCAAACAGGTAAGTTTAACCTCCCCCACTCCAACCTTTTCATTGACATAGGCTTTGTTAGAGTGGAAAACACATCAAATAAGATGTTACATGGAGGCCACATATAGTGGAGAGTCACCACCTTTACATGTTAATAACCCACTGCATTATCCATATAAAAGTAGGGGAAGACCCCTCAGGTAGTGCCCACCTGCACATCCCCGATCAGTTTCACCAGGAGGAGTGACCCACAGGTTAAATTCATTCATGTATCCCGTCCCAGGCGCAGGTGACGCCAAATACTTTAAAGCGCCACTGCACTACTTATAGCTACTTGCGCCCTCTATATAGCAAACAATGCCTAATTGGTGCCTGTTGGTCCCCTATGATCCCCTTTTTCTTATGTTAATTGAGAGCTGATGTGATAACCACCTGTCAGTAACATTGCAGGGAGGTCTAATCCCCCTGGCCAAACTAGTGCAGACAGGCTTTAAAGTGATAACATTTCTTGCTGTCTTTGATGTATCTGTATGCAGTTGGTGCTGACCTTAATGATGACCTGCGTGATCATCTACCTGTACACAGTGCTTGCCTTCAACTTCTTCAGGAAGTTCTACACCAAAGACGACGAGGGAGAGATCGAATACAAATGCCACAATATGATGTCTGTGAGTATGATACGGGCAGGAAATCTTTGAGAGATAGCAAAGGGGGTGGGGAATAGGGGGGGGGGGGGCGTGGGGAAAGAAAATGTGATTGTGCAGAAGAGATACTTGTATGACTGAATATATGCAGCCATACATGCAGCTTTTAAAGGGAACATGGTTACCGGTACTTCTAATGCAATCTTTCAAAAAGAAGGTCTTGCAAAACAACATGAAGGGGAACAAATTTACTGGTATATTCAAATATACTTTCAAGCATTCACATTTCTATTTCTATAGTGCTTCGTATGAGAAATTTTGGAATGATTCATCTATACTTGGCGATACATGTAGTTTATTTCAGGTAACATTGTTTCTTATGATTGGTTAATATAGAATCTACAAAAGTGATTATCAAGACATGTACATGTTTGTCACAGAGGCAAGCTGATAAGGTATTTCTTCAATATGCACTCAATTAACTGTGACTGAAACGGTACCAAGTTAATATGCATAAAACTGAAACATGTAAAGGAAAGATTATTATAGACGTTTTAACTTTTTCAATCTGATTCATGTTGATTGCAGTGTTTTGTCTTCCATCTTCATTCTGGACTGAGAGCCGGTGGCGGCATCGGTAAGTGAATCGTAAAGGAAATATTTAGCAGTGATAGCAAATAGGGTATTGGAATGAAAGTTGTTGAATATGGTCTCCCATTGTCGTACTTATATCACAAGAGACATGTACTGGACATTATTGGGATCCATCCACAATTTCAAATGAATTTTAGTGTAAATGTCAGAAATATATCATGGGTATCACTAAAATATGTCCGTGCTAGAAGGCAATATCTCTGCGGTTCATACAAATAGCGGACTCACAACTGCCCATTGGTTTTACACATACATAAAGACCACTCAAGGAAGATAACAAAAGCAGCCTTTATAGCCAGGTGGTCTGGATGTACAGGCTCCTTTTGATAGTACATGTTTCAATGACAAACCCTTTTCTCTTTTTTCTCTTTTTTCAGCTGATGAGATCGAAGCACCAGACGGTGATGTCTACGAGTACTATCGAATCATCTTTGACATCACGTTCTTCTTCTTTGTTATTGTCATTCTTCTTGCCATTATTCAGGGTATGTCCACTTTGAAATATTTCGTTATGGTGTTGTGGTCTAGTGGATAAGTCACCTGACTGTGAACCATAAGGTGTGTGGTTTGAATCTCTGCCATAACACTCATGTCCTTGGGCAAGACAATCAACATTTGCCACACTCTACCCAGGTGCTGTAAGTGGGTACCTGGTAGGATTTGGTCCTTCAATGCACCAAGTGCTATGGCTGCCGAAGCTAAAGCCAAGGTCATAATATCCATAGTCCTTTGGAAAGATATAAAGATTTATACCATAATGTTATGCCTTTATCTGTTTTCAATTCTAATCAATATTCTTTTCTCTACCCCCCCCCTTCCCATTCAAATGGCAAATAAAAAGAGAGTGAATGAGAGAGAGAAAGAGAGAGAGAGGGGGGGGGGGGAGGTTAGAGGTAACATGAAAAAGAGAACCTACCTACACTCATCTCACATTTCATCTACACAGTAGCTAGGCCAGTGCCCCCCGCCCCCACTCCCTCCATATGACACCAGTTTCACCTCCATGGAGGGACTAATACTACACCCCTGTCTGAAATATTTAAAGCTTTTGCTTTTATGATTTCTTTCACATAATTATTTCCTTGTACTTAAAGTATTAAAGTTTATGATGGAAGCATACTCGTCACAGCAAGTGACAGAGTCTACATGTATGTAGTTAAGTGCACGAGCTTGTTGAAAATCCATTCCTAGATTTATGTTTTGTGGAATAACTATCCAGTGATTTTTATTGCCATTGTTTAGGTTTGATCATCGATGCATTCGGTGAATTGAGAGACCAGCTAGAGCAAGTCAGAGAAGATATGGAGGTGAGATATTGAGGTTAATTAAAGATGGTGAATAGAAATGTGACAAAAGAAGATTAGTAAACACTTTAACATGTTATTATATATATCATACATATATGTATTATACAGTGCGTCCCAGAAAAAACAAAACCGAGAATTAGCGATGTTTTATCATAACTGAATCACAACTATAATGAATAAATGACACATATTTGTAAAGCTGATATCCTCCTCTTTCATTTGATGCAACTCATATGATGCATATTTAACGCATGAGTGATTAAAATCAATGTGAAGAGAGGGAACCAAAAAGTCATTTTGCGGACGGTATCTGAATTTCAAAGAGAAAATCACATTTCTAGAAAGTTCACTTTCTGCCCTTTCATATGACACCTCAATCAGGAAAAATGAGCAAGGAATAACAAAGTTCTGTTTGTTTAAAGTGATGCTTGCATTTCCATAATTTTATTAAACAATTTCGTTTTCACTGGGTGCCTGCCGTAGCAAAAGGCGAAATTGACAAAAGACTTAACACCTGACGATCAGCCATAGCTAATTCTAGGTTTCGTTTTTTCTGGGACGCACTGTATAGATATTATAGATATATATATATATAGAGAGAGAGAGAGAGAGAGAGAGAGAAAGAGAGAAAGAGAGAGAGGGAGGAAGGGAGAGAGACAGACAGAGAAAGAGAGAGAGAGAGATAGAGAGAGGGAGGAAGGGAGAGAGAGAGTCCTGTATCAGTTGAAAAGAGAGCATTAAATACTAGACAACCCTAAGTGATATTCAGCTTTAGGGGCCTAAGCGTTTGTAATGACAAAGTTTATTGCAAACCAACATTCTTCAAAAAAATTTTTTAAAGGCACACCAGTTTCTATGTGTAAAATATATATATATATATATATATATATATATATACATATTCT